CATGAAACACCTGGGATCAGGGCAGGTATCTGATGTTAATGTAAATAATATAAAAGTGATCATACATGAAACACCTGGGATCAGGACAGGTATCTGATGTTAATGTATATAATATAAAAGTGATCATACATGAAACACCTGGGATCAGGACAGGTATCTGATGTTAACTAATATAAAAGTAATTATACACGAAACCCCTGAGATCAGGACAGGTATCTGATGTTAATGTATATAAAAGTGATCATACATGAAACCCCTGGCATCAGGACAGGTATCTGATGCTACTGTATATGATATATAAAGTATTTGACACAAAAGCCATGGGATCGGGACAGGTATCTTAAGTTATAACAGTATTAATGTAATCTGAGAGGTATCTTAAGTTAATTTGTTTAATATAACATACACTGACTTCACATGAAACACCTTCGATCAGGACAGCTATTTTAAAGTACTGCATATAAAAGGCATTGGACACGAAACCCCTGCGAATACGTACAGGTATCTGAATGAAACGGCTGTTTTCACAATCTGCGCATGATCCGTGACCTATGCAAATTCACAGATAGGCCACGCCCACCCGATGACGTAGTAGCGGTTACGCTGTACTGAAACCCCTGGAAAAAAGTGCCTGCCGTTCAGGAAAAGCAAAACAACAGCGAAGAAACTCAACACAGAAGAACATTTACACCTCGCTGCCATCTAGCGTTTCGGAAGTGTTAATGCAGACCAACAGAGACAGCGCGCAGAAGTATAAATGCACAGCTACGCGCGTTGCATGCGCCGCGGGTTACGCCGGTCACTTGACGCAGAAGTATAAACCAGGCTTAAGTTGGGGGTTCATTCTTCTGTGGCGATCCCGAATTAATAAAGAGACTAAGCCAAAAAGAAAATGAATGGATGAATGTGAAAATATTTTTGTGAAATCTTATATTGTTGTGATCATTGTCTTCTAGGCTAAACGATGGAACAATTTTGAAAGATGTAAAAAACACACAAGCGACTGCTAGCCAGTTTTGAGGAAAACACGGCACAGCAGGGTTAGTTGTAACAGGGTGTGACAAATAAGCCACACACTGTCGGACACCAATTAAACTAATAAAATAATTTTTGAATTTTGAGTGTAATGTTGGGATAGCTAATATTTAAAGTAAACTGAATTTAAATTAATTGTGTAAAATCTGCCTTTTAAAGCATCTATTACAACTAGCCCTCTGTCTGTTACGACTCCCCCCACAGGGGGGGGGGGGGGTAAATAGTAACATTTTTACTCCTGGCACTTTTGGCAATACTGCACAGAAACTATAGGTCTGGCAATCATACTTTCAGTTCTCACTTGTAGGAGAGGCTTGTGTGTTGTTGGTAACAAAAATATGGTTTGTCTAACCCCATTACTTTGCTCATTATTTAGCCAAACCCCAAAAAAAGTGTTACTTTGTGCCCCGTTCTCCCCTACCCAGTGCACATCTTGATTTCTGCAGCACCTGAAAGTAGTAAAATTTTCTTCCATCAGACTCAGAGGTCAGCTGAATGGATTCAAAAATGGTAAAACTCAACTGTTTAAAGGGGTTGTCCACTATGATATCATAATTTAAACTTTAGTTGATGTGTAATGTAGCTGAGTGAACATAAACAACATCTCTGAATGTAAAAAGCTTAAAGTTCAGTGCAAAGGGAGACCTTGATTTTTACAGAGTTAGCTTAGCAAAGCCTGCAATGAACGAATTTTGGGGACTAAAAAAAAAAACTTCCGGGCCTTGTGAGATCACAAACGTACTTTAAGCGCGCACACACATAGCGCAGCTCAGGGCTGTGGCCAGAGGCGCTGTAACGTTACAGCAGAGGGAGAAAATGCCCTCCTGCTATTTCCACAGAGCTTCTTCTGTTTCTGTATTTGGGCTTCCAAAGGACACGACACAAAGACAGAAGTGCTTACAGTTCAATAATAATTATGTTCCAGAGAATTATAAAATACATGGCAAGCATGATTTGGCAAAACATAGCTTCCAGAATCTCTCCCAGTTCATTGCAGGATTCAGTTAAAATCTCCCCAAAGATGGAGCAGCTACACGCAGATGCTGTGAACTCTGAGATACGACCTGTAGGTGTTTTTATTTTTTAAAATTGATCATGACATGTACAGTGTCTAGCCTAAATGTATGTTGTAGCAAAGATGTAAATAATGGGAAATGCTGTTCGCCACCACTAACGATTTAGCTACAAATTCATATTTATCAGTCAAACTGCTGTAAACACACACACACACACACACACACACACACACACTCTCACACAGTTCACCAGCACGTTCGTGTCTTTCTATGTGTGTGCGTCCGCAGTGTTTGTCTTATAGGCAGCTTTTCCATGCGTTTTACATCTCAGATAATGAACTCGCAAAAGATATGTGAACGATTGTTGTTACTTAAACAGGCATATATGGATATGTGTGAGTTAAAAAAAATACAGGAGAGCTCACCTAACTTATGTACCACATCTTGTGCTTTATTCTTCTGTCAGCAGCGTCAC